GAGTTGAAGTCCACAAGTCTTAAAGTTGCCAAGGTTGGACACCCCTGGCCTAGAAATGTCAGTAAACACAAACTGAGACAGGCGGTAGCAGTGGGAAAGCAACCTTGCTTTGGGAAGGCATCCCTAACGAAGCCGCCATATGCTGGGTCTCTAGGTCTGGTGGACCAGACTGAGTCCACAGACTTGAACACCTGGACAAAAGGTGGGGTATCAGTACAGATAAATACATTGAAAACAACTGAACAAAAGCCCTGTTCTTTTGTCGGGAGTGGAATTGTAACCTTTTTCCTTCTCGGCTTCATGTCTCCCAGGGATAACTCTGGCCCTCGCCCTACGGCCATATCGGATGACCTATCGCCAGATCAAATACTTCTCCTTTCCTGGGGAGCTGTTGATGCGAATGCTGCAGATGTTGGTTCTTCCACTAATCGTCTCTAGCCTTATCACAGGTGAAATGAGTAGCTTTTGTCTTAAAGTCCAATCAAATCAGCAAAGTGCTGTGCAGCTTCTGGCAATCTGGTGCTACAACGGGGGTAGGAACCATTTTTTTCAGAGGTGCTTCATACAGGTGCTTGGTTTTGGGAGAAGCCACAGGGATGAATGGCTCCCAGAGCACCTAGAAGGGGAAGACTCATTGACCATTGAACTACTGTTCTGATCTGCCTCTTTTAGATAAGCCCTCTCTTTTCTGGTTGCAATTTTATCCCCGTGGGATTACAAACTGTCCGTTTCTTTTCTTTGGGTGTGTTCAGGGTGCAAAGCTAGCTAAGGTACATGTCTACAGAGATTCTCAGCCATCCAGGTCATGGTTGTCCCAAAGGTGCTTTTTCAAGAGGCAGTTGAAGAAGCTTCTTAGGCGAGAAGCGAAATGTCTTCAAAGAAAAAAGCAAAGTCCAGTTGCCTCTTTAAAAAAACCACCTTTGGGATTAGCTAAGGTGCCTTCTCTAGTTTCCATCTTTCTACCAAACAGATCGTGTTAGGACTAGAGATGGGAAGGCCTGGAAAAATCCCAGAAAAATTGGGGGAAAAACAGGTCCTCCTGTTTTTTTCTAAATGGCTTTGGGGGAAAAAAAACAGAAAAAAAACTGTTCTCTCCCCCCCCCCCTCTCCATTTTTCCGGGTTTCTTCCAGGCGTTCCCATCTCTAGTCAGGACTAGAGTATAAGTATAAAAATTCAGCCTTGAGTTAGATCATGAAGTCCACCTGATGAAGCATCCGATTTCAAAGGCAATCCTGGAGATGGCTGGGAATTAAGGTCTCTTGTGACCTTCCATTGCTGAATTATGACCTTCCCTCCCTTCTCAGGCATGGCAGCCTTGGACAGCAGTGCCTCTGGCAAGATGGGAGTGCGTGCTGTCATTTACTATATGATGACAACCATCATTGCCGTCTTCATTGGAATCTTTATGGTCCTCATCATCCATCCAGGAAAAGGGAGCAAGAAAGGCCTCCAAGGGGGGGGCAAGATTGATCAGATCCATGCAACTGATGCTTTCATGGACCTCATCCGGTGAGCAATTTTTAAGCCAGGGCAGAATTTTCTGATGTTGGGCTGGTTATGGAAAGCATAAAATGGTTGGAAGGAGGGGAAGCTGTCATTCACCTGTTAACGTTGCAGTGAAATGGAAGTGGCAAGGTGACCCTGGAAGTAACTTTCTAGTGCTTCCTCAACTAATATGAACTCTGTGATCCCTGTTAGTGAATTTCCTAACTCAAATCAGGAGACTTTCAGTTCAGGGGTCTTTGTATGGCGATTAACCACAACCCAGCATCTTAAAATCTTCAAACTGATGCTGAAGGGTCATTGATAACCTTGTGCTTTTGTCTCTTGTAGGAATATGTTTCCACCCAACCTTGTAGAAGCCTGCTTTAGACAGGTAAGAAGAGTTGAAGATCCTAATTGGGAACTTGCTTGTTGCGACCAACTCTGAGTAGCCCTCAACTTTTGTAACTAAAGTTGAAACCAAACCCTACAAACGATATTATTAACCAACATTTCAGCATATGACCAAAACTGTCTTTCATATAAACAATGTACACTACAGCTCCCAGGTAAATTAGTCAATGTGGAAATTGTGGCTCAAGCATTCCTTGTTCATTTCGGATGATTTGCTGACTGACCTGTACACCACTCAAGACATTTTCTCATCTGCAGAGTTTGTGAGAGTTGCTCATTTGGATGTTGTTTCTCTCATAAGGGCCCGAGCTGATCCTTCCTTCTGCTTCCCTTCCAGTATAAGACTCAATACAGTGTCCGGGTTATCAACAGAACGGTTGTGAGCAACACTTCTCCTGCGGCCATGTTGCCACAGCACCCAAAGCGGGATACCAACAGCAGCGGTTTCAACTACAATGCCACCATGGCCAGTTTGCCTCTTCTGCCACTTGAAAATGCTTTGGGAGTCTGGAATAATGTCACTAACGCTCTAGGGAGCTTCCCGGAAGTGCTGAATTTTGAGGAGGTCATGCCCGGCCCGGGTTCTGTCAACGGGGTGAACGCCCTTGGCATCGTTGTCTTCTCCATCTGCTTCGGCCTGGTGATTGGCAACATGAAGCAAAAGGGACACCCCCTGCGGGAGTTTTTTGACTGCCTCAATGAAGCCATCTTGCGGATGGTGGCAGTCATCATATGGTGAGGACAGGGTCCCTCCTAGACCGAAGCAGGGGGCAGGCTGTGGTATCTTTGAAAAACAGTCTTACTCTGTGCTACTAATGTGGTTAAACCTACGCAAGGATAGCATCCGCTGAAGGGTCAGAAAACCTCCAAGTATCCTACGTGTAATGTACAGGGAGTCCTCGACTTAACGACCACAGTTGAGCCCAAAATGCATGTTGTCAAATGAGGCGTTTGTTAAGTGAGCTTTACCCCGTTTTGCAACCTTTCTTGCCACGGTTGTTAAGTGAATCGCTGCAGTTCTTAAGTTAGTAACCCGGTTGTTAAGTGAATCTGGCTTCCCCCATGGACTCCGCTTGTCAGACAGTCGCAAAAGGCAATCACGTGACCACGGGACGTCATAAATACGAGTCGGTTGCCAAGCATCTGAATTTTGATCACGGGACCGGGGGAATGGTGCAGGGGTCGTAAAGGTGAAAAACAGTTTTAAGTCACTTTTTTTCCAGTGCCGTTGTAACTTGGGTCACTAAACAAACTAAGTCGAGGACCACCTGTACTTATTCCAATTTTAATCCTACCACTAACGAGAGTTATCTAGGCAGATTCTAAAACTGCAGTAAATGCAATTATATATGCAGGAGGTGTCTTCATAGATTTGTCTCTGGCAGTTGGTAAACAAAGGTAGAAGGGAGCTTTTCACAGAATACAGTTTGCGGAAAGACAAATGAAAGAGCGCTATTACCTTCATGGCTTACTTAGGAGCTTCCCCTTAAAGTGGAGGTCTTCAAACTTGACAGCTTTAAGACTTGTGGACTTCAACTCCCAGAATCCCTCCTCCTGTCATGTTAGCTCAGGAATTCTGGGAGTTGAAGTCCACAAGTCTTAAAACTTGCCAGATTTGAAGAGCCTTGCCTTAAAGTATCAAAGGCAGTTTGATAACCTCAGTTTGATGCATAGGAACAACTGAATTCTCCATAAATAATGAAGGACACCTTCCCCAGCCTGGTGTCTTCCAGTTGTCTTGGGATTACAACTCGGGATTTTTAGCCATTAGACTAATCGAGGGGTCCCCAAACTTGGCAACTTTAAGACTTGTGGACTCCCAGAATTCTGGGAGTTGAAGTCCACAAGTCTTAAAGTTGCCAAGTTTGGAGGCCTCTGGACTAGTCTGTTAGTTTGTTTCATTTATTAAATGTAAATGCTTCCCATCTCACTGTTGGGTGGCTCACCAAAGGATTTTAAATATGAAAACCATTAAAATTAATGAGGATTAAAAAGAGGATGGGTGGCACTGGGTTGGGATCTCTACCTCATAGCTTAGTTGACCAAGCCCTGTTGGAATTGTATAATCATTACATCTGAAGGGCACCAGTCTGGGAAACCTGGGTGACAATGACTAATCTTTTTTCTTCTTCTTAAAGTGTGCTAATTACTGTAAAATTATCTGTTTTAGCAGAATTGCTTGATGACCAATAAGGTTGCATGACAACTTTGGAATTCAGCAAATCTGAAACTGTTTTTACTGGCAGGAATTTCAATTTAAGCATTTAAATTGCCTTAACTCAGGGGTCTACAACCTGCGGCTCTGGAGCCACATGCAGCTCTTTCGGCCCTCTGCTGCCGGTCCCTGTTGGTTGATCCCACCACTGGCTGGCCTCTCCCCTCCCTGTCACTCCTCGCCTGGCCTGAGAAGGTAAGGGTGATGGCAGGGGATGGAGACTCGCTCCATATTCCAGAGCAGGAGGTGACTGGGTGGGAGGGAGTGACGTCCACGCCCGCCCACTGGTTGATAGATTATTGGCACCCAGTGTTTTCTGTGGGAAATGGCTCCAAATGGCTCTTTGAGTGTTTAAGATTGCAGGCCCCTGTCTTAACTAAATCAGCATTTACTGATCACCCAGGAGATTACAATTGGTTCCGACTGGTAGTGGACCTTAGAAGCTTGATTTAGATTTGTCCGTAAACATTTTCAAAGAAAAAAACAAAAGTCCAGTTGCCTTTTGTAAAAAGCGCCTTTGGGAGAGCTTGGAGATCCTTCAGCATGAAAAGCTAGTAAACTATCAACGGTCTTTCCTGAAAGCACAAAGCATTGTCTGTTCTCCATGTTGGCTTAGAGCTGAGTTGGGAGTTGAGCACTATTCTGACATGTTTCGTAACAGGTACGCCCCTATTGGGATCCTCTTTCTCATCGCTGGTAAGATTTTGGAGATGGAGGACGTGGCAGTGATGGGAGGCCAATTAGGCCTGTATACACTTACAGTTATTGTGGGACTCCTGATCCACGGCCTCTGTGTCCTTCCACTCATCTACTTCATTGTCACACGGAAAAACCCCTGGATCTTCATGGCTGGCCTCCTACAAGCCCTCGTTACAGCCTTGGGAACATCTTCCAGGTGATGGTCTCTCGCAAAGGAATGGGACAGGCAGGAAAGCCATCTGGGTACCACTCCCAGGAGACTCTCTCTCTCTGTGTGTGTGTGTGTTGTTTCCAACTTGCTTTTTGGAACTTGCTGTTGGAAAATGTAGCTCCCAGCCAAGCCAACAGATTGGGGATCTTAAGTCACAAGTGTAGTGTATGGGTGTTGTGTGTCGGATTAGTTGCCAGGCCCTTTTGTTGTTCACAGTTGGACGAAGCAGCTCTTAACAAGATGGGGAGAAGCAGGAGTTAAGGATTTTGGCTTGGAAGTATGGAGAGAAAAAAAGCTTTTCTTTCCTTTGGAAGCAACTGGTAAGCCTTAATTTGCTCCAGCAATCTCAATTAATTAAAGGAATTAATTGTTAGTGTTGGTTTTTTATCAGTTGGGTTTATGTTTATGATCTTATTGTTGCTATTATTTAAATTTGTATACTGCCCAATCTCCAATGACTCCGATGAGCAATTCACAAGTAAAAACATTTAACACCTCGAAAAAAATACAGTAATAAATAAAAATAGAAGAACAGCAGAATAAAAGAATGACAAAAAGCAGGAATGAAATAAAGACATCCACACAACTCAAAATTATTGTTGGTTTGTTAAATTGCTTTTAATCTTGTATGCTCCACAGAGTCATTTGAGAGACAGACAGCCATATAAATGGAAATAATGAATAAATTAGGTAATAAATTATTGAAAATGCTTAGCAACTCTGCTCAAATTTCATCCCAGACAAATTGCATTCCTGCTTGTATAAGAGGATATAGGATTATGAACTAGCTCCTAAGAGGACATAAAAGATTTTTCATTCAGGCTAAGAACTTTTCTGATTATTATTTTTTTGTAATTTTAAAATGGCTTCTGCATCACAGAAAAATTTCCATACTAGTTATCATTGATTAAAATACACACAGGCACACTAGCAAAATCTGGTAATTAACGTTCAGTCATAAATATGAAAAGATTAAAAATGTAACATAAAATAGGGAAACATGGCATTAAAAGTAGAAAAATAGCAAGGTTAAAATCTACTATCCATCAAAAACATTTAGAGATTTATATGGTTCTGATCTGGACTCAAATGGTCAATCTAGGACAGTGTTTCTCAAATTTGGCAACTTTAGGTTGTGTGGACTTCAACTTCTAGGATTCCCCAGCCAGCAGGAAGTCCACACAGTTTAAAGTTGCCAGGATTGAGAAAAACTGGCCTAAGGGCCTGTCTTTGTTGCAAAACTGAAATATTATCCATTCTTCTATGAATCGGCAAAATATATATGTGCGGATGTGAAATTTGCTTGCTATTTTGGCTCTCCTTGCAATCCTTGAGAGTTTTCTGAAGTCCCTCCAAGGAAATGGATGATCATATAAAACATTTTAAATATCTTAAAGCCATTCTTGGACAGTGTTGGAAGAAGGGGAAAAGACTAGTTGAAACCCAGTTCGGCTCATGCCTGTTTCACTCATGGGCTAGGAATAAATTTGAAGGCAGTGTTCATAGGGATGAGGCTGACACAATATGTTTGTGCTATAGTTAGCTGCAAGCGGGGAAGGCCCTAGTGAGCGCCAGGTTAGTGTTGGGTGCCAACTTCAAAAAGGCCAGATGGTGGGGTCCTTGGTATTCTTGGAATTTGGTTGTTTTCTTGCAGACATTTCAGTACCCATCTAGGTAACATCATCAGTGCTAGAAGGAAGCCGAGTTTGCAAGAAAACAAACAAGTTCAGAGAGCACAAAGGGCCGCCACACTTCAACTCTGAGCGACAAATGTTCTCTTGTATCAGGCCCAGCTTGCATTCATTTGAGCAGAGTCTCTCAGAGAGATCACAAAAAGCAGGCAAATCCAATGTTGGAGCAGGTGTTCACATACCAAACCAAAGGCTTTGCGTCATTTTTTTAAGCTTTGTGTTTGAATTAGGCTGAGAGGAGCCATCTTGGGTCCCTTTTGGCCTTGTTCGCAAATTATGAGACGTTTTGCTTCCAGCTCAGCTACGCTCCCTGTCACATTCCGTTGCCTGGAAGAAAACAACAGGGTGGATAAACGAGTTACCAGGTTTGTTCTGCCGGTGGGAGCAACTATCAACATGGATGGCACTGCACTTTATGAAGCTCTGGCAGCCATCTTCATTGCACAGGTCAACAACTACGAGCTTGACTTCGGTCAGATCATTACTATTAGGTGGGTACAGGCACACGTAGGTGATAAACTACCTGTAAGGACTCGCCTTCTCCCCTCCCCTCAAGAAAGCAGAACACTTGAAACCGGCATCATTTCAAAAGGAACTTTTACTGGGAGATAGTGATAACAAGGAAAGCAAGGCAGGATCTGAAATTCCCGCTCAAAACCGTTAGGTTAAAAGTTGCAGAAACCCCTTTATCCAGTCCAAAAGCAAGCCCAATCCACAGGTGCGAAGTTGTTATGAGAACCTCGAGCTGAGAAGGTGATAAGCAGCTGTTCGAAATCTCGCTGAGACGAAACAGACTGCCCCAGGCTACTCCTTTCCCCCTCCCTTTCCCAGGAAGGTACATCAAAGGAAAGATCAGAGACAAGGAAAAGTTGTAAATTGGCAGCCAGGCCCTCCCTGCAAGAACGGCAGTGTCCTGATAGGAATCTATGGGGATTTGATACTACTTGTGCTGGTTTGCATTGCCAGGAGTACTGTGCTGTTTAGCACAGAGGTCCCCAAGTTTTCCAGCTCCGTGGAGTGGTGGCGGCGGGGAGGTGGTTTTGTACGTGCCGCAAGTGCAGCTTTGTGCACTTGCCCATCACTTGCGCAGCCTGGTTCCCAACGGGCCACAGTCCGACCATTGAGGACCCTTGGTTTAGTACATATTTGCCATATGAGATTTTGGATATGTGGATAGTGTCCTTTCTGCATTTGTTTTGCTTCCTTACATCTATTATTTTAAAATTCAGTTTTTAAAGCTTGCTGCATTTTACATCAGCAAAGAATTTTTTGATTTGTTGCCCCACCTAAATAATTCTGCAGAATTATTTCTCAGCTTTCAGACTGCAGGTTTTAATGCAGACTTCTCCAAACTGATGCCCTATCAGTGGTGTTCTAGATTATAATTTCCACGGTGCTTTGGCCTGTGAGAGTCATAATCCAGAACCACCTGGGGAACACCAATTTGGAGATGAACATAATCTATGAGGCCAGATTTTTGAGGAGTCCTATAGCGAGGCACCAACTTACTAATGCTCCTCCAATCTAACCAGTGCACCTTTTCACCACAGCATTACTGCCACAGCAGCCAGTATCGGAGCTGCTGGCATTCCACAGGCGGGCCTAGTGACTATGGTAATCGTGTTGACGTCTGTCGGATTGCCAACGGAGGACCTCACTTTGATTATGGCTGTGGACTGGTTCCTGTAAGTCCCTGCGAGGGAGAAATGGGTGGGGCTAAGGGTTATACTTGTATTTAAGTCTACTTTAAATAGATATAGCCCACAAATAGACCTCTTTTTTTCCTCTCCATCTCCATGTCATTGTAATGGAGAGGGCAGAATTTCTCCTGCCCAACTGCCATTGAAAAATGAGATTACCCACATTCAGTGATGGAACACCTTTGTAGAAAGGACTGTATAAGGTAGTCCCCATTTAGCAATTGCAGTTGAAACCGGCACCTAGGTTGTTAACCCAAGCAGTCAATATGTGAAACTGCAACCCTACTTATAGTATTACTTCAGCTGTCGTTAGACAGTCACTGCAAGAGGATCCCCTGTAACATTTTTGAGTACCTGTGGTAAAAAAGTAAGATAGATTTAAAGAAGATGGGATGTGGCTGTTAATTCAAAGGGCAATCGAGTACATAGAAATAAAGATGGAGTCACGACCATTGGAGGAAACCAGAGGGCAGACTTAGTTCCATCTCCTGCTCTAAACTTAGCAGAACTGTTTTTATATTTGCCGGTCATATCTACCCGACCCGCTAGAGCAGGGGAGCAAGGAATGTTGTGGGTCCCATTCCTAAAAAGATACATGTGGTGGGACCCAGAAGAAGGGCCTTCTCTGTGGTGGCTCCCTCTCTAGAACATCACCACCCCCACCCCCGGAGATTAAACTGGCCCCCATTCTAATACTCTTTTGGAAGGCTCTGAAGACGTGGTTCTGTCAGTGGCCTTGGGGAACCCTGAGCGGGATGGAGCCCATTAAATGGCTAGTATGAATGTGTGTTGTCACCGGAGTGGGTTATTATTTTTGTTTTTATTTCTTTTATATGCTGTTTTTGTAGCCTTGTAAGCAGTCTTGAGTCACCATGTGCAAGTAGGCGGTAATATAAATTTTCTAAATAATGAAATAATAATAATTTGCCAGCAATATCCATGTGAAACTTCAATGTTGGCATTGAAAACTGCAGCCCTCTCCCAAGCAATTTTCGACTTGACAATTCCTTTTTCTTCTGCTTTCAGAGACCGTCTCAGAACTACCGTCAATGTGCTGGGGGATTCACTGGGTGCTGGTGTTGTAGAGCATCTGTCTCGCCATGAGCTGGAGATGCAGGATGCTGAGCTCAGCAACTCAGTCCTTGAAGAGAATGAAAAACCATACCATCTAATATATCAAGAGAATGACACCCACAAGCACCTCAACAGTGAGACACCAATGTGACTTGGAGGAGCGGAGTGCTGTCGGGATAGGATCTGTAAAATGTCACAGCTAGAGAGGCAAGAGCCAGCCACAGTCCTCCCACAAACTCTCAGTTCCTTCGTTTTCCCTGTTCATGTCACCAGAAAAAAACTAATTTTTTTCTATAACAGTGATTGTGCTCCTACAATGATGATTTGACAGTAAGAGTTTGACCTCGCCTATCCTGCCTCTTAACCACAGCTGGTTAGTATCCTGCACCAAGCCAACTCCACATTTCCTTGCCAAGAAGATGAACTTTGAACATATTGTGCTGTGCCATAAAGACCAACTAATTTAAATCTTGTGCTACAATTTTACTGATTGTGCTCATTTTTGATTTTTTTTTTTAGCACTTGAAAAAAATGCAGCCAAATTTTATATATATATATATATATATAATATATATATGTTTTCTTAAGTTTTCGCAGGTACTTACATGTATGGTATTCAGCTTTGTTCGGGTATTTTCCCACATCATTATAGTTGTGCTACAACTTTAAAAGCACAACTATAATGACATGGGAAAATGATGCTTTATTGGTATGGAAAATGTTTATTTATGAGGATCATTAAAGTGGATAATCATGTACAGCCTGTGTTTTTAAAAAAAATGATATGTACAACTTGCTGCTGCTTCATTACAATTGAACATGTAGTCCTTGTTTAGCGACTCTTTGCAGTTACAGTGGTGATGAAAGACTAACTTTGTGACCCTCACATTTATGACCTTTGTAGGGGTTCTTGACCTTTGTAAAGCTGAAGTAAAGATTGTAAGCACAAAAGAAAACTGAAGTAAAGGTCATAAGTACAGTTAGTTTCATTTAGCAACCATTTTGCTTAACAACTGAGTTGCTAGTCCCAGTTGTGGTCACTGAATGAGGACTGCTTGAACTATAATATCATAATGGCAATGCTTATTTCCTTTTGTTTCCTTATTGGTTAATTGTTCAGAACACAGTAGCTTTATCAAGCCAAGATGCATATAGTATCTTGGTTTTTTTTATATACATTGGTAACTATTATCAGAGACAAATAAGCAAGGCAGCCTGTTGCTCATAGCATCAGGGCACATAGTCTTGAATTGTGACTCTTGGCTTTTGATACATCTCTGCTCTCCCAGTTGTCTCACATCCTTTGAAAGCCATTGAAGATACAGTCCCGTTGTCCCTTATGTAAATCTTGGGACCTGGATGACTGACTGATCTCCATAAGGACCAGTACTCCAGAGCCACCACACTCATGCCTTTTCATGTATCGATTCAAAAATAATGTGTGAAAAAAAGACTGTGGAATGTATCATGGTACACCATCAATATTCGATTTACTGCAAACAGGTATTTGCAAAGCTTACCTAAGAAACAGCTATTTCATTTTGGCAACTTATCTGGGAAAATGTTTTTATTAATCAGAACATTATTTGGGTTTATTACAGGTGTTGATAGGAAAAGTCTTTTTAAGATCAAATCCAAGACATTAGCAAATCCAACACTCTCAAGAGTTTTTTCTTTGCTAGGCAGAGAGAACTTTCCTTTACTCTTCCTGGTTATTTTCCTTTTTCATTGCATGACAACACCCTTCTTTCCCTCTTTTTTTAGGGGTTTGCTTGTTGCATGCTTAATTGTTGCTCAGTCCTTGCCTTTGAAGTGGAGTAGCCAGACCCATCTCTTCCCTTGCCCTTCTTCCCTCTCCTAGACAGCTTCTACCCTAGTCTCCCACCCCCATCATCTCTGGCTGAGTGTTGCTGGTAGCTTGGGGCTTTAGAAACACTGTCTGCCACGAAGCACAATAGTGGGAGAGGATTTCCTGAGACTAGTGCTATTTGACACATGATGCTGAAAGGAAGCTAACTGTTGCCATCTATTTTGTTGCTAGGCTGGCTCTCTGGAATGCTTCTCCTGGCTGGCCAGTTCCTCCATCCTATTCTTACCAAGTATTGTGGGCTGCAGAATGACTTGGAAAACAAGTAGTTGAATTGTGAATTATAAACCTTTGTCCTGGGATACAGTATTATTAAAAAATGTGTCCTGTGATTCTTGCATGAGTGGGCACACTCCTAGTCCCTTCCCCCAAAGTCTTGCCATCTGATGGGAGTTACAAATCATGCTTTTCAATGGCAGTCTGCCCTGTGAAACACTGTGTCCCTTGAAGTTTGGCAAGGCTTCTATCTTAAACTCCTGTAAAGTTTTAAAGACCTGGTTTTCCTCCCAAATGTTGGGATCAGATTGAAAAACTATACATTTGAAGATCAGAGTTTCTTTTGTTTTTAATATTTCAATGTGTTTAAAATTTTAATATGGTTTTATATGCTGTTTAAACACTTTAAGAGCTGCCCAGAGTTGGTTAGAAGATGGGCAGCTATATAAATGTTTTAAATAAAATAAATAAAAATGTATTATTTAGGAGATACTCTGTGGTCCTCTGGTACAGGTGGGACAGTATTCCAAGCAACTATTTGCTTATTCATTGTGAGGGCTAGATCACATTTAGCTAGCTCCCAGGCTTTAAGGCAAAATCCAAATTGACCATATGATGCTTGGCACAATGGCTCCTAGGCTTATTGATAGATGATAGCATTCCACTTCTGGGACAATGGGCATGAGAAATGTTAACAATACTGATGTGCTACCTCTTATAACCTGTTGCTCCAGCTGTTAAAAGCAAGTGGAGGCAATTGTTCCTCACTCAAGACAAATGAGGCAACACGGCAAGGACAGCAAAACAAGATTGTAGTTGTAGTCTTGTAGTTCATGACTGCTATCCTTTCCCAGAGTAGTGGCAGCTATAGGGAACCAGAAGTTTGCTAACCACCACCAGTAGCAGAAGCTGAGCAATTAATTGGTGATTCTGAGTAAAAATGTTCTTCAATCAGTTCCTTTCCTTCACCCCAAATTGACTTGGACATCTGATAACACTTATTTCCCCCCCTCACGCCTATGAATTCTCTTGCAGCATGGAAGTTTGCTATTTTCTTACTAGTCTTTTTGCCTGTTTGTTAGTCCTTTCCCAACAAAATGATATGTGTTTCCTCTGCTTTTGCTTCTTGTTCACTTGGAGTAGATTAACAAAAAAAGTTGCCACCTTCCAGTTAAACACAACTCCTGGTTTAAAAAAAAAACATTGCAGTTTCTTGGCATGATGGTGTGGAAATGGTTTGCCACTATAATCCAGACATGTAAACCCCTGCTTAAGCAGGAAACCCTACCATTTCAGACAAACGGTTGTCCAATCTCTTAAAAGCTTCCAGTGTTGGAGCATACACAACTGGAGGCATGCTGTTCCACTGATTAATTGATGTGCCAGGAAATTTCTCCTTAGTTCTAGGTTGCTTCTCTCCTTGATTAATTTCCATCCATCGTGTCTTGTTCTGCCTTCAGGTGCTTTCAAGAATAGGTTCATTCCCCTCTTCTTTGGGGCAGCCCCTTAGATATTGGAACACTTATCATGTCACCCCTAGTCCTTCCTTCTTTTCATTAAACTAGACATACCCAAATAATAAATCTTATCATTGTCTAGAATCGGCAAATAAATATAAATAGTAATAGTAGTAGTAATAGTAATAATAATAGTTGCAAAAGGCGGCTTTACTCGGAACAATTTATATCCTGCGACAATATCTGTTAACGCTCATCAAACATCTTGGGAGTCCTTGTGAACTTTGTTCCATAGGCGAACAAAACGCCAAATCTAGTCTGAACATCTGGACGAACCATCATCATCATAATTACTATAATAGCGATTTAAGTACATATCTGAATATTTTGAAAATATTTTTTGAATATTTTGAAATATAAATTGGCAAAAATTACACATCGATCACCGACTCGTTATTAATATACGCTAAATATGTTACTTATTAGGTAAATCCGCTTTGAGTCATGAATACAAATGTGTAATTTTAGTAGCGAGTTATTAAGGAAAATAAACATGAAAGCCATACACGGGTAAACATTAACCACGTATAAACACAAGACGACGCAGAATCCAAGATTAAAAATGAATGAAGGAAAATTCCTTACCGGAAGAGGAGGGTCACAAAGACTACTGTCTCCGCCCGTCCTGCCATGTGCAAAAGAAACCTCGCTGGTGCAGGAGACAGGACGGTCCCATGATGATGGCGTCATCGGTGCGCAGCAGCAGGATGGCGGCTGGAGCGGCACGCTCGCTGCTCTTTTTGCGACTCTCCGGTCGGACCTGGCGATGTCGGGGTCGCGTTTACTCCTCGCCGGGGCTGAGGCGGCCTTTCCCTTCTGCGCCTTCCGTGGCGGGACGTTGGGTGGCCCGGGCGCCTTCGGGAGCGCCGCAACCAGAGGAGCAGCAGCGGCTCTTTCTCTTGGGCGGACGTTCTTCCAGCAGCAGCAGCAGCAGCAGCAACGGCGAAGACAGCCTGGAGGGCTCTGAGGGCGACGGAGGCCTTCCTGGCTCCGGCGACAGCTCGGGCTCAGACTCTGGCGGGCCAACTGTAGTGACAGCTCTGGCCCCGCTCATGGTCCCTGAGCACGTCCCCCACGTGCCCCTTATCCCCATCTCCAGGAACCCTGTCTTCCCGCGCTTCATCAAGATAATCGAGGTGATCCACGTCAATGATATTTTCAGATAATGAAGAGAAATGGGGAGGAGAAGAGGAAGAAGCCGTTTTCTCCCCTGGGGAGGGGCTCATTGCTTGTGGGGGTGGGGGGAGAACAGGGGTGAGTCTCTGCTTTGCTTTGTACAAAAACCCCATTTCTCTGGCTGATACAGGTAGCCCTCAACTTGCAACACTTTATTTAGTGACCGTTCGAAGTTACAAAGGCAGTGAAAAAAGTGATTTATGACCATTTTTCACACTTACGATGTGCAGCATCCCCATGGTCCGGTGATCAGAATTCAGATGCTTGACAACTGTTCGCATTCATGATGGTTGCAGTGTTATCAACTTTTGCAACCTTCTGACAGGCAGAGTCAGTGGGGAAGCCAAATTCACTTAATAACCATATTACTAACTTTAAGAACTGCAGTGATTCACTTAACAACAGTGGCAAGAAAAGTCATAAAACTCAGTTAACAAAATAGGTTAGCAACAGGTTTTGGACTCAATTATGGTAGTAAGTCAAGGACTATCTGTATATACAGATAAGTCTAGGAAGGACCCTCTAACACAGGGCTGCCATACTCTCTGGCCAGATGCATCACATACTGACTATGCCCACACCCGGTTTAGCAAAGGGAGAAAAAGTCGAGCTATGTCACATGGCACTGCAAGTTTGACACCACTGCTTTAATGAGTTCCTATGTTCCAACTAAATGCACATGTGAGCAGACTCACGATAAGGCGAGTTATAATATACAGAGACACATTAGCAATTAGT